TCGTGGCCCCATGTGGAGCTCTACCGCAGGCGTCAGTGGCAAAATTCGCATGCAGTTCTACCCAATTTCGGCGCGCCCATCACACGGTTCGTGGCCCGATAAAGAGATCCACCGAAGGCCGCAGTGGCAAAGGTCCCATGCAGTTCCACTCCCATTTCGGCGCGCCCCTCACACAGTTCGTGGCCCCATAGGGAGCTCCACCGAGGGCCCCAGCGGCAAAGTTCGCACGCAGTTCCACCCCATTTCGGCGCACCCCTCACACGGTTCGTGGCCCCATAGGGAGCTCCACCGAAGGCCCCAGTGGCAAAGTTCGCATGCAGTTCCACCCAATTTCGGCACAACCCTCACACCGTTCGTGGCACCATAGGTAGCTCTGCTGCAGGCCTCAATGGCAAAGTTCGCATGCAGTTCCACTCCCATTCCGGCGCACCCCTCACACAGTTCGTGGCCCCATATGGAGCTCCGCCGAGGGCCCCAATGGCAACCCATTTCGGCACACCCCTCACACGGTTCGTGGCCCCATAAGGAAATCCACCGAAGGCCGCAGTGGCAAAGGTCCCATGCAGTTCCACCCCCATTTCGGCGCGCCCCTCACACGGTTCGTGGCCCCACAGGGAGCTCCACCGAAGGCCCCAGTGGCAGAGTTCGCATGCAGTTCCACCCCCATTTCGGCGCCCCCCACACGGTTCGTGGCCCCATAGGGAGCTCCACCGAAGGCCCCAGTGGCAAAGTTCGCATGCAGTTCCACTCCCATGTCGGCGCACCCCTCACACGGTCGTGGCCCCATAGGAAACTCCACCGAGGGCCCGAGTGGCAATGTTCGCATGCAGTTCCACCCCCATGTCGGCGCACCCCTCACAAGGTTCGTGGCCCCATAGGGAGCTCCACCGAAGACAATATTTACCATTGCGTTACTCAGAACTGCATGTGGTTGGGTCCTTCGCCAGGATAGCTATTACTCGTAGTCGTCGTATTACTCTTGTTCGTCTTGTGATTACTACTATTATGAGTAGTAGTAGTAGTAGTAGTAGTAGTAGTAGTAGTAGTCGTCGTCGTCGTCGTCGTCGTCGTCGTCGTCGTCGTCGTCGTCGTCGTCGTCGTCGTCGTCGTCGTCGTCGTCGTCGTCGTCGTCGTCGTCGTCGTCGTCGTCGTCGTCGTCGTCGTCGTCGTCGTCGTCGTCGTCGTCGTCGTCGTCGTCGTCGTCGTCGTCGTCGTCGTCGTCGTCGTCGTCGTCGTCGTCGTCGTCGTTCTAGTAGCCGTAGAGTCGTAGTAGTAGTAGTAGTAGCAGCAGCAGTAAGTATAGTATAGTAGTAGTAGTAGTAGTAGTAGTAGTAGTAGTAGTAGTAGTAGTAGTAGTAGTAGTAGTAGCTGTAGTAGTAGTAGTAGTAGTAGTAGTAGTAGTAGTAGTAGTAGTAGTAGTAGTAGTAGTAGTAGTAGTAGTAGTAGTAGTAGTAGTAGTAGTAGTAGTAGTAGTCGTAGTAGTCGTAGTCGTAGTCGTAGTAGTAGTAGTAGTAGTAGTAGTAGTAGTAGTAGTAGTAGTAGTAGTAGTAGTAGTAGTAGTAGTAGTAGTAGTAGTAGTAGTAGTAGTAGTAGTCGTATTGTAATTCGTTCTCTCAGTATTAGTATTATTAGTGCTATCATTATTGCTATGTTGCGCATTCGCATTCGTATGAATATTATTATTATTATTCCTTTTCCTCTTCCTCCTCCTTCTCCTCCTCGTCAGTCTCCTCTCTCTCCCCCGGACAGGGGCGAATCTTCGAAACAACCTCCTGGAAATGAAGCCAGCTGGCGGGAGCCCTGCCTACCAGTCCCCGACCCCACACGCTCCGACGATTCACCTTCACAAGATTACTCCTTGTCTTACTTCCACAGCTCCTCCTCTCGTGTTCCTCCTCCCCCCATTCCCCTTCCCTTCCCTGATGACCCTGGATTTCACATTCTCGACATCAACGCTCGCGTTCTGAGCTTTCCCCGACGGAGACGTCAACGGCCGCACACGCACGACTTGCACTTTAGCGCACCTTCGCGTGTGCACGTACGAAATTCGCCCACCCACCCACCCCCCGCGAACTCGGACATCGGGAGCTTCCTCCTACAAGGGACCGAACACTCATAGGCTTGCCAACTGCGCGAAGTAAATCCAGCGCTCACGCAGCCTGCGCATACCACGTTCCTCTCCTTTGTGAAGTGTTCTGTCTCATGCAGGTTAGTCGTGTGGCCCTGCCGCGGGAATTCCTTGTTGCAGGCCGCGCACGTCAACTCTCGCTCAAGCCTGTTTGCCGCATCGGCCACGCTTCTCGCAACTACCCCATGCGTGTCAAATGCCCCGCACACCACTCCGGCTCTTTTCGCCGACAGATGATTCCCTACTTGGTTCAGGTTCAGATAGTCCTCCCGCAACCTGGCGCACAGCACGTCAGCGGCTTTGCTTCCGCTTCTAATTTCAATGTGCGATTGTTTGCGTCAATTTGTCACGCTCTTCCGCACATTTCCGACACACTCCCCTGCTGCGCTGTGTTTCTTCTGAGCGCTCGCGAAATTCGCACTTTCGAAACCAGCGTGGATTGAGGTACGTGTGCGTCCTGCTTTCGCTCCCGCATTATCCGCGGGGACTTCTCGGATCGGCGCTGGGCCCCCCTCCCCGGCGCGCGGAGAGCGCCAGGGGCGGCGCTGGAAGCGCCGCCCGGGACGGCCGGCGCCGATCCAAGAAATCCGCGCGGAGCGCCGAAGAGTTATATGTATGCCGTTTTTGTTCCTCGATCCTCGGCTTCAATGAGCCCCCAGAGCGCCCATGAGGCCCCCAAGAGCACCCCGAAATCGCCCAGAATTCCAAGGAGCATTCCTGCAGACTCTGACCCAACACCCACACACACTCGCGGGCCAGGCCGAAAGCCCTTCGGCATAAAGCCCCCGACAAGATCAAGGGGGTCGGCGGATGTGGCGCAAGCCGGTGAAATCCACGTCTGGAGGTGACGTGCTGAGCGGCAGCGTTTCCACGGAGGCGATGATGCAACGTATCCAATGTATTCAATGACTACACAATTTCTGCATATTGTATTGTGTTACATTACTATGTCTCCCCCCTAACCCCCCTCAGGAGCTACGCCACATCCATCGACCCAACCTGGCGACCCCCTTGGGGGGCCCCAAAACCTACCAAAACCTATGTAAAATCAATAATTTCGGCTGCTTGGGCATCTGAGGGGGCCACGAGGGCGTCAGGACGGCTCAAGATGGCCTCTGCGCGTGCCAAGACGGCCCCAAGACGGCCCAAGATGGCCCCAAGGGGGCCCAACAAGGCCCCAAGAAGGCCCAAGGGGGCCCCCAGGGGACCCCGAAGAGCGCCTCCAGAAGCCCAAATCTTTGATTCCCTACCTAGGCTCTGCCTAGAAGGGTTCTTACCGTGTTGGCTTAAAGGGCTGGGCAGTGTTCCACGCCCCAGGCGGTTCCCCCAGGATCCGCCCCGCGTTTCCCCCAGTGACACTCCCTTAGCTTAGCGTTGCTTATCTCATCTTAGCTTAGCCTAGCTGAACTTATCGTAGCTTAGCTTAGCTTAGCCTAGCCTAGCTTGGCTTAGCTTAACTTAGCTCAGCTTAGCTTAGCGCAGCGCAGCATTAGCAGAGCAGAGCATAGCATAGCATAGATTAGCATAGCATAGCATAGCATAGCATATCATAGCGCAGCATAGCATGGCGCAGCATAGCATAACATAGCATAGCGCAGCATAGCATATCATAGTTGAGCTTAGCATAGCACAGCGCTGCATAGCATATCATAGCATAGCATCGCATCGCATCGCATAGCATATTATATTATAGAATTAGAATAGCGCAACCTAGCATAGCATAGCATAGCATAGCACAGCAGCTCATAGCATAGCATCGCATAGCGCAGCATTGCATATCATAGCATAGCATAGCATAGCTAGCATAGCATAGCTCAGCATAGCATAGCATAGCATAGCATAGCGCCGCATAGTATAGCATAGCATTAGCATAGCATAGCATAACATAGCGCAGCATAGCATAGCCTAGCATAACATAGCGCAGCCTAACATACCCTAGCATAGCATAGCATAGCATAGCGCAGCATAGCGCAGCATAGCGCAGTATAGCATAGCGTAGCATAGCATTGCATAGCATAGCATAGCGCAGCATAGCATAGCATAGCATAGCATGCAGGTGTAGATGTGAATGTAGCTGTCGGTGTAGATGTTGCTTTCCCAGATGTTCCAACTCCTAGGTAGGGTCGCACTGGTATAATTCATCACTCACGCTCCCGTGTCCAAGGCTCCCCGACGCAGACGGGCCACGAAACCAGCCGAGTCGATGCCTGCTGAGCCAGAGTTTTCCAGACATCTTTGCAGGGGCGGGGCTGCGCCGTCAGAGCGAGGAAGTGGCGACCAGCTTTCAGCACTGCGATCCAGGATCAGTTATGTTGACGCCATGTTTTAGCTGTCTGCTTTCTGTTTCTTCGCTCCTATACTGGAGAATGTCAGGTCAGAACGAAAGGCTTGCAGATAACTCATTTCTTTGGCGGCTCGTTTCCTCAGAGCTAAAGCTGCCCATCTCTCTACCTCAGGTCAAGCCTGAAAGGGTACGGACAAACGGGGTACAAGCATCACCAAAGCGGAATGCTACCACCTGTTTTCCACTCTCCGATTAGGCCCAAGCGGGACACTGCCTCTGGCCGCTGCCTGCGAAGCCATCATTCTCCAGGTCATGCTCAGGAATCCCATCACATGCTCAAGTTCATGTTTCAAAATCAACATCATGCCCAATGTCATGTTTTGAAATCGAAAGTTCATGCCCTCAACTAGCACAGATACGATTGTAAATAAAGGCCCTTGTTAGGGGTGGGAGTTGCCTTCCTGTCTATGGTATCATTACGGAAGATTGTCTAACCTATTCGGTACAGTCATACACAGACGTGCAGTGTGACATCCATAATATACACGTCCGGTCACATACGGCAATGACGTAGCGCTACGTTGTTTTAGCACATGTAGTTGTTCCCCCTTGCGAACAGGCCTCCATTTTCGCCGCATGAGCAAGGCTCTGGTGCTCTTGGGCCCGAGGATGTGGCGCGCGGGGATGTGCTAGCCCAGGGTCCTCCTCTTACCGGAGGTGCTGTAGAATGCGCGGGCACAGGTGGCAGACCTCTGACAGGATAGCCGCGGGCGCAAAACCGATGGCTGGGCAGGCGTGCGCTCCAGAGGCGCTCCGTGTGCGCCCAGAGGGAGATGGGGACAGGCGCGGTGCGCACGTGGCAGAAAGGACTGCGGTGCCAGATATGGACTGCAACATCCGACGGGAGCTGGAGTGGCCTATCCCATACATGCTTTTGTTCCACAGCACATGCTCCCTTAAACAAGAAACACATGGCCCGGGCCTCTTTGAGACCACGAATCCGATGTCAATTTGTCAATTTGGGATAACACCCATTTAAAGCAGTGCCCTCTTTCCTGACTCGGAACACTGCTGACAGAAACTTCCTGTGCCGCAGACGGGACGGATCGACGAGCGCGGGTCTCAGGCGCCCTTGGTCTTGCCGCCCGCCGCGCACAAACCGATCACAAACTTGACCACGAGCCCGAGCACGGCGAGGGCGGCCAGCCCGGCGCAGCCGAAGCCAATGGAGAGGCTGCGCGCAAGGGCCTTGAACTCGGCGGGGGTGTTGACGTGGGGGTAGGGGGTCGCGGGGATTGCCTTCCCAAGAAACTCGCACAGAAGGGTCCAGCCCTTCGCATGGTCCTGTACGAGCAGGCGCTCACGCGGGACGACTTCGACGACGCGGTCGTTATTCGCCTCGTAGCTGGCCTTGAACTCCGCCTTGTAGACCCAGGGGAAACCTGGCTCGTCAGCCGACAGGGGCTTGCCGAGGATATTGCTGAACAGAGCGTCGACCATCGCCTTGTGGGCCACGAAGAAGGGCACCACCCTGTTCAAGATGTTGAAGGGGAACGTCGAGCCGAGGACCAGGATCGTGTTCGTCGCCGATTCCCACCACACCTCGAAGGACTTGCGGCGCGTATGCACAATCTTAGCATCGGGGTACGCCTTCATCAGAGTCTCCCAGCACATGCTCGCGGGGAAGTCGACAGCAGCGGTGTAACCGAGGTCTTCGAACAGCGACTTCAACGCCTGCACATCCGCACACTTGCTCTCGAGCTGCACGTGCCAGGTCTTGACATGCTCGGTCAGCGAGCCGTCAATGATCTCCTTCATGTGGTACGTCTTGTAGCCGAGCGTGTTCAACGCCACGCGCAGCGTCTCCGTGCCGGTCCTTCCATAGCCCGAGCCGATGACCTCGAGCGCGCCCTCGGCCGGCGCGACCAGCAGCCACAGCGCCGCGAGCGCCGCGAGCTGCGCACGCGGCATGACGCGCACTCACCGCCGCAGCAGGGGGGCTGGCCATGGCGAGGGAGACGAGGCCCTTGAGACTAACGAGATGGCCGGAGATGCGCTCGCCAAAATCAGTGGAAGACTCGCTGAGTCCACATACAGGAAATCATGCAGTTGCAGGTTATGTCCTCATGAGGGGTGCCCTGCCGTCTCAGCATGCGGAGCATGCGGAAAGTTTCTGACGACGTGTTGAAGCTGACTATGCCACCCCAGGCTGAGCATGCCGAAACACACACCCGCCAGGGCACACCGACTCCCAATCTGGGCTGGTTACGGGTTGGCTTCCAAGCACCCTGCAACGAAGGGCCTCGGGCCTCCAGAGAAGCGCGCGGGGCAATTCCATCTGGACCAGAAAGGCACATGTGAGTCGAAGGACGCCCTGTGCTGTGAGTGGCGACCGTACAGTACATCCAACACCGTTGGCGCTATCAATTGAAGCAGTCGGCCTGTGCTCATCACACCGTGCCTGTTCATTAGCGTCCACGGCTCTAATCAGGGCCCCCCCGCCAGGGCTCAGAGTCAGCCTCGTGTCGAGTCAGCGAGTGGAAGTGACTATTCCAAACTAGTACTCGAACTTGCGGATCTTCGTTGGCACAGTGGTTCGTGAGGATAAAAAAAACTCCACGGCTCCAATGTTGCGCACCCCGCCCGCGTGCACCAGAATGACAGGCCCGAAAGGCGGAGGGCGGCGCGACTGCCGCGGACGAGGCGCCGCAGGATGCGCAGCATCCGGTCGTGGAGGCGCGGCATCATGCGGCGAATCTCAGGGGGCACTACCTGTGCCATGCTACACCCTGCGAAATGCTTAAGAAATCATGGGTTAAGAAATTCATAGTCTCGGATCTTGAATAAAAACCCAACATTTCTACTAAAAACTTAGGATTTACACTGAAACGTTAAGAATAATCGAGACTCTGGCCGAAAACTTAAGTATTCTTAAGCATCGCCTAAGGTGTACTTGCTCAATGGGCCACTCTTCACAAAGTGGTGTTTTGGTGTGTGTGTGTGTTCGCGCGGACGACAGAGAGAGGCGCGTGAAACGAAGACGCCGCCATGGCACAAGTAGCATTGCACAAGGAGTGCCTGCTGTGGTTTTTTGAAGACTTCAGCGTTCCTGCCGATTTCGACTCTCAGAGGTCCAGGACGGCCGAAACAGGCTCCGAAGTGGCCCCCAGACGGCCCAAGAAGCCCTCATGAGGGCCCCAAAACGGCCCAAGAAGGCCCCCAGACAGCCCAAAGAGGCCGCCGAGATACCCCAAGGGGTCCCCAAGACGGCCCAAGAGTACCCCAAGACAGTCTCCGAAGGGACCAGACAGCGCAAGCGCGCCCCCAAGACGCCCACCCACACGGGGCTCCGAGAGGCCCCCAAGAGGCCTCCCAGAGGCCCCCAAGAGGACTCCCAGACGCCCCCGCGAGGACCCAAGAGGCCCCAAAGAGGCCTTCAAGGGGCCCCCAAGAAGGTCCCAGAGGCCCGACAACGACTGGACTGTACGTGCTCCGGACGTGCACCCCGCGAAGCGAGAGGAATCCACGTCCAGAAGTAACGTGTTACCGGAGGCAGGTCCGCGGACGCTGTAATGCAACGTATCCCATGTTTTCAATGATTGCATAATTTGCACATCTTGTACTATGTGTGATTATTATGTCTCTCCCCTACACCCCCCAGGGGCCACGCCACGTCCGCCGACCAGGATGGCCCCCCGCCTTCTGGAACCTGAAAACGCACGAAAACCTATAGGAAATCAACGATTGGGGCCCCTTTGGGGTCTTGGGGACCCATGAGTGCACCAAGACGGCTCAAGATGGCCTCAACACGGGCCAAGACGACCCCAAGACGGTCCAAGATGGCCCCAAGAGGATCCAAAAAGCCCAACAAGGCCCAAGAGGGCCCCAAGAGGACCCCCAAGAGCGCCTCCAGTGGCCAAAAACATTGATGATTCTTCGGTGTTTGCAGGATATTAGCGTTCTCTTTTTTTTCTATCCCTAGAGGTCCATGACGGCCCAAGCAGCCTCCAAAATGGTCCCAGTACGGCCCCAGAGGCCAAGACGGCCCAAGAGTGCCCCAAGAAGGCCCAAAGGCGCCCCCAAGACGGTCTTCAAGGCCCCCAAGACGGCCCAAGGAGACCCCAAGAGAGGCCGCGAGAGGCCCACAGGACGGCCTCCCGAGGGGGCAAACCGCGCATGAGCTCCGCAAGACGGCCCAAGACGGCCCTAAGAGGCCCCAAGAGGCCCCAAAGAAGCCCCCAAGAGGCCCCAAGAAGCCCACAAGAAGCCCCCGATAGGCCCCGAAGAGGCTCCCACCAGGCCCCGCAACGACTGGACTGCACGTGCTCCAGACGTGCGCCCCGCGACACGAAAGGAACCCACGTCCAGAGGTGACATGCTGAGCGGCAGCGTTGTTCGGCGAACGCCTTCATGCAACGTATGCAAGGTATCACATCATTGCACAATTTTACTGTATCAGATTACTGCACACTTGCTACCTATGTGCTATTTTACCATGTATGTCTCCCCCATAACCCCCTCCCCGGGGCCACCCCACATCCGTCGACCCTCAGAAGAAGGACCCCTTCTATGATTTGGGCCACTTGGGCCCCTTGGGGGTCAACGAGTGCGTCAAGACAGCTCAAGATGGTCTCAAGACTGGCCAAGACGACCCAAGACGGTCCAAGATGGCCCCAAGAGGATCCAAAAAGCCCCCAACAAGGCCCAAGAGGGCCCCAAGAGGACCCCCAAGAGCGCCTCCATTGGCCAAAACCATTGATGTTCCTTCGGTTGTTGAAGGATTATAGCGTTCTCGTCTTGCTCTATCCTTAGAGGTCCATGACAACCCAAGCAACCTCCAAAATGGTCCCACAACCCTCGTCAAAATTAACCTCAAAAATGTCTGACGTGGTTGAACTGCTTGTCGGAAGATCTGGGGCCGAGTATGGATGAGTGCGGGGTACTTGCATGCGCCGCCCCTCCAATGTCGGTCGACGTCAAATTTTCGAGTCAACTTCGGTCAGACTATCTTTGCCCTCGCCCCGACATTGAAGGAGCGGCGTGTCGACATTGAGGGGCGCGCCGAAATCGAAATGACGTGCCAGCAACTGTTGAGGTTAATTTTGACGAGGGTAGCAGTACGACCCAAGAAGCCCCCAAAAGGGCCCCATGACGGTCCAAGAGGGCCCCAAGACGGCCCAAAGACGCCCCCAAGACGGTCTTCGAGGCCCCCAAGGCGGCCCAAGGAGACCCCCAGAGAGCCCCAAAGCGGCCGCGAGAGGCCCACAGGACGGCCTCCCGAGGGGCCAAACCGCGCAAGAGCGCCTCAAGACGGCCCAAGAAGGCCCCAAGAGGCCACAAAGCAGCCCCCAAGAACACCCAAGAGGCCCCCGAGGGGCCTACAAGAGGCCCCGAGGAGGCTCCCACCAGGCCCCTTGACGACTGGATTGCACGTGCTCTGGACGTGCACCCCGCGAAGCCAAAGGAATCATAGTTTGGAACCGATGGTGCCTCCTGCCAACCAGGGTGGTAGCCGCAAGGTCAGTTGGGGAAGGCGGGCCCAGCGCAGCGGCCAACAACACCCTGAGGATGTGCGCCACATCCGACGAGGGCCAAGGGCCCGCGGCTGCAAAGGCTTGCACCAGCAGGCAGAACCCGCACCCCGACACAGGGTGCGCCTGTCACACAGCCAGAACGGCCAGAGGCAGAAGGCCACCCGCTGCCAGGAGGGCCAGGGTGGAGGCACAGCTGTGAGAGGCCCACCGAATCACGCAGGAGCAGCCGCAAGCCCAGCTCAAGGGTGCACAGCGTAAGGATGCACCCGGGAGGCTGGCTGGGGGCTCCTCCTCCTCCTCCTCCTCCTCCTCCCTCCCTCCCTCCCTCCCTCCCGCCCTCCCTCCCGCGAACGCGCGCCAAAACCAGGTGGTCCGTGCCTTCGTCCCGCCCTCCCTCGCTCCCCATCCGTCCCACCCTCCTCCCTCTCCGGCCTCCTGCCTCCCGCCCCCACAGCAACGACGACGGTGCCGGCGCTGACTCTCACGCCGCCGACGGCGGCGACGCGGACGCTTTGGACGCGGACGACGATAACGACGACGACGACGACGACGACGACGACGACGACGACGACGACGACGACGGCGGCGGCGGTGGCGGCGGCGGCGGTGGCGGCGGTGGCGGCGGCGGTGGCGGCGGCGGTGGCGGCGGCGGTGGCGGCGGCGGTGGCGGCAGTGGCAGCGGCAGCGGCAGCGGCGACGGCGGCGATCGTCGACGTCGTCAAAGGTCGAACGATCGTCGGTCGTCGGTCTTTCATCGTCGATCGTCGGTCGTCCGTCGTCGTCGTCGTCGTCGTCGTCCGTCGATCGTCGGTCGTCGGTGATCCGTCGTCGTCGTCGTCGTCGTCGGTCGTCGTCGTCGTCTCCGTCGTCGTCGTCGATCGTCGATCGTCGATCGTCGATCGTCGGTCGGCGAGCGCGGCGGGCGGCGGCCGCGCCTGGGCGGGGCGGCCCCGCCAGGGGACTCGCTAGGCGCCGAGGCCTGTCCCCGCCGGGCGGTCGTCGACGTCGTCGTCGTCGTGTTCGTCGTCAACGTCGTCGTCGACGACGACGACGTCTATCCGCCGAGGCGTGTCACAGCGGACCTGGAATTCCAGAAAGGACCTCATCGTGTTCTGCACGGTCGAACAACGGAGCTCCGTACATTGGAGGAGGAGGTGGCCGATGAGCAGGCCAATAAGCAGGAGGGTGATCAGGAGAAGGAGGTTGAGGATGAGGATGGAGGAAGACGAGGACGAACAGCAGCAGCAGGAGCTGGATTGGAAAGGGCGGGAGGAACAGGAAAACCAGGGGAAGGCAGCGGAGAGGAGAGGAGGGGCGGCAACGATGCGGAAGGACTCGGATGCAGAAAAGCGGCCCACGCCAAAGCGAGCGTGCCATGCTGAACGACGGGAGCACGGCGCCGATCCTAAATTGATGCCCACGCTGCAGCGGCAACACCATCTCGAAGAGCCAGAATCGACCGCACCTTCGTAACACTGATGTCAGCCAGCGTGGGCCCCGCCCAAGAGTGAGATATTGCACTGCGGATGTGCATGCGATGTGGTGCAAGCCAGCGGTGTAAGCTATGTGCTATGCGGTGCAGCGTACGAGTTGCAAGCTCGAGGCGGCCACGAGGCGGCAACGGGCGGCGACGTGGCGTAACCTCACCAGCCCCACCCAGCGCACGAGGCGACAACGAGGCGGAAACGGGCGGCAACGTGGCGAAACCTCGCTGAAACCACCCAGCGCACGAGGCCCGAGGCGGCCACGAGGCGGCAACGGGCGGCAACGTGGCGAAGCCTCGCCAGACCCTTCCAGCGCACGAGACGGGAACGCGGCGGCTACGGGCGGCAACGCGGCGAAACCTCGCTGAAACCACCCAGCGCACAAGGCGGCCACGAGGCGGCAACGGGCGGCAACGTGGCGAAACCTCGCCGGACCCAACCAGCGCACGAGGCGGCAGCAACGGGCGGCAACGTGGCGAAACCTCGCTCAGCGCGCGAGGCTGCAACAAGGCGACAACGGGCGGCAACGTTGAAAATCCTCGCCAAGCCTCACCAATTCCTTAGATAGACAAGTGAAACCTCCAAGAGCAAGCACTGATTGGTGAATGTCACAAAAGTAATTGACCAACTTGCGAAATCATGTGCCAAAGCAACGCGCGAAGAGGGCGGGAAAACTGCCGCACAGAGTGAGGAGAGAAGGGAGAGTAGCATTCATAGGGTAATTGTAGAGGGAGGGAGGGAGCGCGGAGGAAGGAGGAGAACGGAAGAGGGACAGGAGGAGGAAGGGAGAGAGGAAGGAGGAGGAGCAGCAGGAGGTCGTCGTCGAACGTCGGAATAGGCGCCATGCCGTTCTCGCAGGACGAGGAGGAGGAAGAAAAAGGAGGAAGGAGGGAGGAGGAGACTGGAGGAGGTGGAAGACGGATGAAGGCTTAGCGCTCGACGTCAGTGAATTCAGAGCTCGCGCTGATCGGAGTCTTGTCGACTGGGACCAAGGGTGCTCTACTACGAGACCTGCTTCTCAACGATGAAGCCTGCCAGCAATGTGGTGCCGTTTGTTGTCCCCTCCTAAACCCACTCCAGGAAGTGCATCTGGAGATTCGAGCCTCGGGGAAGCAGCTTGAGACGTCTCTCTCGTCGGCAGTAGCAGCGGGTGGCGTGGACGTGCAGGTCGAAGTGCACCCTGATAGGCACTCGGCGTCTCCCGACTGTAAGCCGTACAAACATCATCGAAGGCCCCGCCGACACAAAGGCTGCGAATCTCGCACACGTTTCATGTGCTCGGGCAGGGGCTGGGGCCTGAGCGCACGGTCCGAACGGGCCGAAGGACCTCCGACCCCAAGCGACAGCACGTCTGCACGAAAGGCCGGGTGGCCTCAGGGGTTCGGCCCGCGCCCCAGCTCCGCGTGCAGCATGCCCTGGCCTTGGAGTCGTGGGCCTGTCTGGTGCTTGCCTGGACGTCCCCGCCCTCGCCCCCACTTGTCTCCCATGCGAACAGGGCGCCCCAAGGCTGTGGAGAGAGGGGGGGGGAGGATGAGGGGGAGAGGGAGGAGGAGAGGGAGGAGGAGGGGGGGAAGGGAGGAGGGGGGGGAGGGAGGTCCCCCGCCCTCGCCCCCACGCTCCCTGACTTGACCCGTGCCGAGGAGGGGTTGCCGTATCGGTGTATGGGCAACATGCAGGCAAGGGCTCCTCCCCCGCCCCGTCCAAGCGGGTATTGTTTCCAGACAACAAGATGCCAATGTTACGGACTGCGAGCCAGCTGCCACAAAAGGCGCATGCTTGACGTGATCCAACTTCGCTTGGAAAAGCGCTGAGCGGATTCTTCTTCCTCAGCACTGGGCAAGCCCCGTCCAAGCGGATATGATAAGATGGGGGCTGCATGCCCTGCTCAGGGCTCCTAGCCGCGCAGGTCCGGGGCCGCTCGAGACTTAGACCGACTGTGAAGTGATCCTGGAGGTGTGGAGGCGTGGCCCTGACCACGATGTGCCTCGGTTGGCGCGCTCTGAGATGGGAACCCAGGTTATGGCAAGAGCTCGTGGCATCGGATGGGAGATGATAACCCGTGTGCGAGAGCAAGCCCGACCTGCCCTGAAACTGGGCGCTTGCCCAAGGATGCACGTACTATACGTGGTTCGGTAGTCGCCGAGCTGACAAGTTATCGCGAGAAGGTACCCTGCTGATGCAGGACAATCACCTCCTCCTTCTCCTTCTCCTCCTACTCCTACTCCTCATCCTACTCTTCCTCCTCCTTCTCCTCCTCCTCCTCCTCCTCATCCCCCTCCTTTTCCTCCTCCTCCTCCTCCTCCTTCTCCTCCTCCCCCTCCTCCTCCTCCTTCTCCTCCTCCTCGTCATCATACGGCCCGTTGTCGATCCGAGTGGTCGCCTATTTCGAATCGAGGCCGAGGACGTCCAAAGCGCGACCGAGCTGGCGCAAAGGATGCCAGATACTTCGCAAGTGGCTTGATGGGGAGATGAAGGCGTGCCCCCATCCGCAGAGTTTCTATGGTGCTGAACGATAACACTGGGACTGGGTTCAGAGGACATGCAGTGACACATGCCGACTACGTCGGAGAAGTTGGAGAACGAAACCAGACGCCTGTTACACGTCTTGATGCTGGAGCCCGATATGGGATCCCTCAACACGTTCAGGACGGCGAAAGTCACCTTCATTGGACACCGTAGCGCCACTCCCATCGACTGCAGTGCAGGCTAGTAGACAAGACACCTCCCACAGGAAACCCAGCCCTGAGACCCGAGGACGTCCATTGATGTGTGGTGCGTGAACGTCACGCTTTCCATCGCAAAACCATCGCAGCCGAAGAAACCCAAGACGCCCTGGGGGCAAGCAGGGTGTTGCTTGGCGTGGGCCCCCACTGTACACCTTTCTCCCGAGTAGTTCCATTATCGGCGGCGAGCCCAGGGAGGGAGGAGGAGGAGGAGGAGGAGGAGGAGGAGGAGGAGGAGGAGGAGCGAGAGTGGGCGGGCCGTCGGAGGCTCGGAAGGCCTCGGGCCTTCCGGGAAGTCTCTTACGCCTCACACGAAGGCGCAGCAAGCTCCTCAAAAGGCGCGAGGGCTTCTGAGAAGTCCCTCCGCCGTCGGAGAAGGCCCTTTCCCCCTGACTTCCCCCCGAGCCTCGCCACCGATAGCTGTGATTCAACATGCAGACGGGGGTTGGCGTCCGCAAAGACGTACCCGCAAGAGTGAGTATCGTCCAGATCATATGCCCGTCGTCGGTTACTTCACGATGCCTTGCCCTGGACACGACAGCAATGTTCGAAGCTGCTGGACTTGTTACAACATCATCGCAGCTGCGCCACGTTTTACGGCTCTCGCTTTCGCTCGTCTGATCGGCAGCATTGCGAAGTCCGCTGCACGTGGGCTCTGCAGAGTCTCCATCCGCCTCGGCCCCCTCCCCCTCCCAATCCCTCGTCATCGTTATTCTCCTCAGCCTCCTCCTCCTCCTCCTCCTTCTCGTCCTCCTCATCCCCGTGCTCCTGCTCCTGCTCCTGCTCATGCTCCTGCTCCTGCTGTCCCTCCTCATTACATTCTCCCCGTTACTCCATGTTCACTCATCGTCGTCATCCGTGTATTCATCCTGTTGTTCTTCCTTCTCCGCCTGTTCCTTATGTCCCGGGTCCTGCTCTTCCTCCTCCTCCTCCTCATCCTCCTCCTCCTTCTCATCCTGTTCCTCCTCCTCCTCCTCCTCCTCCTCCTCCTCCTCCTCCTCCTGTTCCTCCTCCTGTTCCTCCCTCCTCCTCCTCCTCCTCCTCCTCCTCCTCCTCTCCTCCTCCCTCCTCCTCCTCCTCCTCCTCCTCCCCTCCCTCCCTCCCTCCCTCCCTCCCTCCCTCCCTCCCTCCCTCCCTCCCTCCGCGAGCAGCTACTACTCTTCATCCCTCACTGTTATCCACCGACCTTGCATGGGTCGTGGCCCAAAAGGGAGCTTCCCCTACGGTCCGTGAGAGAAGGTTCGCATAGCGTCTTCACGCCCATGTCGGCGCACCCCTCACAAGGATCGCGCCCAATAGGGAGGTCCACCGACGGTTCCTACAGGAGGGGTCGCATGGCGTCCATCAGCATAGTTCGGCACACCCCTGACGCGGATCGTACCCCACGGAGACTTCATCTGTAGCGCACATGGGCATTTTCGCATGGAGTCCCCACGCCCGGTTCGGCGACGCTACACGCGGATCGCGCTCCAGAACGAGCTCAACCCACGGCCTCAGTGGGCGCGCTCGCGTGGCGGCCACCCTTCACGCGGATCGCGCCCCACAGGGAGCTCAGCGTGCCTACGCGAGCTAGCTCCGCAGCGACCCTCTATCCAGTCTACCCCGCGTCGCGCAGCAGTTGAAGAGAGAGCCGCGCCCTGCGCGACACGCAGCTGCATAGGGGCGGGCCCTCCGCCAGGCCAAGTGACTCCTCTTCTCTCATAAACGCACACATACAAGGACACAGGCATACCATCGCGCATGCATACATACATGCGTACGCACATACATAC